CTCTGCTTACTTTGAATACTTGTAAATAAAACTTTTGGCCCGTAATTTATTTCCCTCATTGTAGCGACCAGAGAGGGGGGGGGGGGGGGATATATCCAGTCTCTGATAGTGTTACGTTATAATGAGAGTGCTCTGTTTGATTCTGAAATTGTATATATTTATATACATATATACATATGTGTGTGCGTGTGTGTGTGTGTCCGCATCTGTAGCCTGTTATTGTCTCATTATACCGCACTGTGAATGAATTAAAAGTAAATATATAAGTGGTCATGAACACATCTGTCCATCAGACAGAGTGCTGCTGCCTTCTGTCATCATTAATGGACGTCTCTTTAAAATGACCGCTCAGAGGAGAGGAGTTCTCATTTCTCTAACCATCTGCTGCTTCCCCTCCTCTCTCCTCGGCTCCCCTCCTCGGCTCCTCCGCTCGCATCTCCTGTGGGCGGGACTAAGTATCGAGGATAGGAGTCGAGGAGGGGAGTTAGAGAAATGAGAAAGGGCCTGTGTGTCTGTCTCCCTGGCTAAGTGTGGCTACCTACATTCCGATTCCCGCCAACTCACCGCCTCAGCTGCTGCTCATCTCACTGATTGCCACTACTCACCTGCACCTGCTTAAAACCCTGGTTCCCATCTTCAGACTTCGCCAGTTCTTCGTTTATTCTTCAGTGGTAAACTATCGTCCAGGCCTACTAGTGTTTTTCCTAGTGACTTTTTGATGCTCCTAGTGAAGGGAGATCATTTCATAATCCTGCTTGTTCTTCCTGTTCCAGATCCACATACTCCAGCCGCTCTGCCTGCCACGTCCAGCCTCCCCTCCCGAGCAGCCCAGCTCCACGTCTTCCCTCTACGTGTGCTTCGTCAACTCCTTGTCAGTGTCGTGGACAAAATAAAGCCTTTTTGACACTTCACCACAGTCTCCGTTGTAGTGCTTGCATAGCGGGTTCTCAGCTCCAGTCACTTCTCGGGAAACCTAACACCAATTATCCACTGAAACTGAAGTTAACTTTATGAGAGACATCTTCTTCATTCTGTCCAGTTTCATACTGTAAACTTTGTGCATTCCTCTGTATACGTTGCACATTTACATTCATTGCTGCCTCTTTTAAAACATCGACATGCTTAAACATGCACTACGTAAGATAAGATATTTAGTGAAAAACAGGTTTCACACATAAAATAGAAAACAAATAAATATAACAATACATAAATAAAGCGATACAGTAACTGTTGAGACAAGATATCACGACAAAGGAAAGGGAACACCACAAAAAAGCATAAAAGGGCCTCTTTAAAATATATACTTAAAAATAGGTTTTTAAAGTATATATACGCTCATTTGTTGCAGTGTTTCTGGGTGCAACATTACACACCACAGCAAATTCCTTGTATGTGTAAATAATACAATAAACCTCACACTGACATCACAATACAAGCCCTGCAGGTTTCAGGGAGCAAGTCAAAGCCATGGGGCAAAAGTTTTAAACCAAACGTCTAAGAATAAAAGTCAGACACTGATAGCAGACATGCAGATTATCACACCTTTACTGCGCGTTGCATAACCCTTTGTTCTCACCTTCATCACGTTAATGTGTTTGTAGATTTGAGATATTTTTACCTTTGTAATATATTCACCTTCATCTGTTCATGAGTGTATCTGCTGGACGTTATTTTCTTTTACATATATTGTGTTGTGCCTTTTTATTGATGTCTCTTAATGTGTGTGTATATGTATCAGCATGTATGTGTAATATATAAGTGGCTGTACAGGTGTATGTTTTTATATTGTAATCTTTGGGATGGTGAGAAACAGCACTTCGATCTCCCTGTCTGTCTCCAACACACAGAGACATTGACGATCAAGTTGACCTTGACTTTTTGACTTGCAATGCTATCAATGTTATCCTTCAGACATTAAAAGGGTGTTTTTCTGCCATTTAATTGTCTCTATGTCAGGTTGACTGAACAGCTTTTGTCTGTGGTTGTGTTCTTGTATTATAGTCCCTTTGTGTGCATGATTACACATTATTAACGGTAGAGTACAGTGAGTTCTCCTTCCACCATCATGAATTGCCACAGCAGCAGTGATTTGACAGCTTGAGATGATTCATTCCGAAATAAATTCATAAACTTCCATTTCAATTCCCTCTTCAAGGTGTGATCTCTGCTCCCAGTCCCACCCCTGACTGACAGTAGTGATATATTCACTGGAAATACTCCTGTTCTGTTACTTTAGATGCAGTTAAAGAGATTCAAATGTACTGTGTCGAAGAAGTATCTCAGACTGAGCGGTTAAATGGAGCTGGAATCCAATTTACCGAAAAACCCAATGTAAGAGCGGAGCAATATTAAATGTTTGGTTGAAGAAAATCCTTTCATATCGATGCATGTATATTTCAGCAGGTGTAGCATGCACAACGTATTTTTTTTAACCATTGTGGTTCTTTTAATGAAGCCCTTAATGTAAAAAATAATTGTGGTATTTGTAAGGGAATCTTCTGCAGCAATGGAGAGTGACGGCCCGTCCACACAGCGGCGTGCGTTCAAGCTTCCAACGCTTCTGCCCATTCACTTTGAATGGGGTGACGTCACTTTTAGCCGAACTGCATCGTGGGAAGCGACGTGGAGCGTTGCTCGCTTCAAAAGTTGAGCAATGTTCAACTTTTGGCGCCTCGGCAGAAGCGTCAGCCAATGAAATCCCGTTTATGCAAATCTGCCAGTACCAGCGCTAGCCAATCAAACCGCGTGTATGCTGGGAGAGACTACGCAGGTCATTTCCTCATATTCCAAAAAATGGAGGGAAAATTCATTATAGCGGTAGTGAATCACCCGGTGCTGTATGATCAGTCTCTGTTCATCTACCGGGATACAAACCGGAGGAGCGAGGCATGGAGGGAGGAGGCAGAGACAGTGGGTGAAACTGGTAGGTTTTCGCCTGTTTGGGGATTTTATATCCAGTTTACTTCGTTTTAACATTGCTATTGCTTTGTATGTCGCGGGCGGGAGATTCATGTGATTGGTTGTTGGTCGCGTTGCTCGCAAAAAATCCCCAAGCTTCAGACACGCCCACCGCCAAGCGTCAACGCACGCTGCTGTGTGGACGCTCCGTTAGGACTCAGAGAGACACGAGGAGAGTTGGAGCTTTGATGTCAAACACGGATCTTTAATACAAGCATCGGCCGGAGAAATTCACATCACAAGTCACACAGCCAGAGATTCTGACTGCACTGGTGGGTTGCCATGTGAAATCTGACCAGTCTCTCTCTCGATAGACCATTTAACTAGTTTACAGAGAGTTAAACCCCATATTGGGGGATGGGGCGTTAACACCTGGAGACACTGAATCACTTATCTGACTCTTAGGCTCTGTGACCGAGAGTTGACCGGTCATAAAACTGGTAATGTCAACAATAGCTGAGACTTCCCATTCCTTAAAGGTGGGGTAGGTAAGTTTGAGAAACCGGCTCGAGATACACTTTTTGTTATATTCCATGGAATGCTCTTAACATCCCGATAGCAATGAATATCTTAAGTGCTTTGACAAAAAATCCATAAAAAAAATTCTGTGGAAGCCGTAATACTGTAAAAAGTACAACCAATCCGTTTAGGCCGGCTAAACGGATTGGATTGCCGCCCTGTCTGTCAGCCTTCCATCTCGTGCACGCACAAATGTATCTCGTGCCCTCATTGGGCGTGCCGTCATTGGGCATTGCGCGTTCATGTGTGTTGGAGGAGGTGCTCTGTAAGGAAGTCTGAAGGAAGGGGCGGATTCTTTTCGGCTGTGTACTTTCAAATTTTAGTGCACTCGAGCCGGTTTCTGAAACGTACCTACCCCACCTTTAAGACAGATAATAGACTTAGGGTTGGTCGTAAACGTCAACACACAGAAAAGGTTAGACTCCTAGGAATAAGACAAAATTAATCCCTAACAGTATTATTCCATTGTTATTCGTGTTTATGCTCAAAATGTAATTTAATATGCAGGGAAATACTGACATTGACTTTTCCCCCTGAAGTTAAATGAGAGGATCGATGTCACGCTCATATCTGTACCCTGAATATAAAGCCAGCACCAGCACATGATTAACCTAGCTTAGTATACAACTGAAACCAGGAGGATACAGCTAGCCTTACGGTGTCTAAATGTAAAAACATCCAACTACAAACTGCATATGACATAGTAAGGGTGGCAACATCTTAATCCTTTGTTGAATCCAATGTTTTCTGACTGAAACAAACCCACAAACTGCGTTATCTTATTTCACACAATGTGGGTGACAAGAAACTCTAGATACCATAATGTATGTGAACATGCATCGAAAAGTGAGTTTTTCATTGTATAGCTTCTCTTACTTAATAATGTAATTAATTGAAGAGGAATTTATTTCAATTCTATGCTTCAAAAACACATGAAATATTTCATGCTCTTACGCGATGTTTTATTTGACTACACGCCCGTGGAAGAACAATCCTACTCAAAAAACTAAAACGATGATGTACTCAATTTAATTGGTGAAACATTTTTACACTTAATAATATTGAGTAAATCTTAAAGCTGTGAAATCATTTAAATGTGCCTTTATGAATTGAGTAAATGTAAGTAAAAAAATCAAGTAGGTGTAAATAACTACATTTAGTACCATAACATATACAATTGAGTACATATAATTAAAATCCTAAGTCAATGCAATAGTAACCCTAAGTCAAAACCACTAATCTTTTATAGTAGATAGCATTTAAATGCTAGGTAGATGTAACTGAAAAGGAGACTATTATTTAACAAAACAAATGTGTGAAATGTACTCAATGTTTTTAACTACATTTAATTAAAACTGGACTATTAATTATATAAATATATGCATTACATTTACTTATTTTTTTAACTGTATTTACCCTTTACTCCAGGAGTGCTTTACCTGAGGTCAATACATCTAATAAAACAAAAATTATAAACATAACACAATAAGCAATTGTACACATTGACATTTGAATTACACATTTATTGTTCAAATTTGACATGACATTAAGTCTCAACCTGGTTTATTTAAACGGTCCTTTAAAAAACACGGGTAAAATACAAGACCAATTGCAGCAGAGAAATCCTAGCATTGGAAATCTCAACTTGGATTATTTAACAAATAAAACTGTTAGGCATTTTATCTAGCGTAACTTCCAGTGAACATTTCCATTGAGCTATGGGAGCAACGGGCTGAACTTAACTCTGCATATGACTTAAATGCATCGAGAGCAGTGACACTTCACAACAATAACAGTCCAAAATGCAAATCAATCAATAGAACTCAACTTGTACCATCTTGCTGAACAGTAGTCGGCAACTACATGTGCAGGCAATTTTTCAGTCTCTGCACTTTCGGTGAAAGGTTGCCAGGATCCAGCTCCAGCAGCAGTTTCTGGAATACCTCGAAACTATATTTTAAATTCTTCGGGTATCTCAGATCCAAGGCATAAGTTAGTCCCAACAGATAGCAGCAGGCTCTGCTTAGATCCCCAAGACTTCTGAGGACAGGGATGCCCTCAATCACGATCCCTACATCAGTAGGTTGATCGACTGACCCATCTTGGTTCTGCAGCAGGTGTATTTTCATCACCTCCTCGGCCAACTCCTCTTGTACACGGACAGGTACATCAGCAACATCCTGCAGACATTGAAAAGATAACTGGTTAGTGCTTCCTTTCTGCCTGCATGTTACAAGACACACAAAGAGCAACTCCTCACTGCTCACTCACTATGTATGTTATTGATCATCTCACAGTCATCCATGATTACATTATCTAAAACTTCAAAACTAACACTGTTAAAAATCCTGAAAACGATTGTACTAACTAGGGCTGCAGCTATAGAGTATTCTAACCATTCATTCATTAAATCGGATAATACATTATTTTGCTTTATTAAAAGAGCAATAGTAAATATAGAAAAGAGAAAATAAGACCGGCCTCTTAAAATGAACAAGATCAACATTGTTATTGTTTAAATTGCAGACAATAATATTATCTTTCAAAACTAGACCCATTTAGTGCATTACGTTTTAAAGAACCCATTTTCTGAAATGCAAAAACTAATTATTGTTTTTTTATTTCAAATAACTTTAAAAAAAAAAAGTATACGTTTTCTGGGCTACTCATATAAGGGTACTATAAATGTAACTGATCACTGCACATCTGTATCGGCCTCACCTCTGTGTCACGCTGTCTGTCTATTCGTCTGCTTGACTGAGTGCGTGTATGTCTGTCCCACTGCTCGATCATTTTTAGTAATCGAGTTACCTGAGGAATCATTTCAGCCCTAGTACTAACCTCAAAGTCCTTGATCTAGGCACTCGCATCTTCTCCCAGATGGTCGATGAGACATCGGATGACAACCTCTCGTTTTCGCTGAATGGGGATTCCACTCTGCAGAATAGAGCAGTCTTTCAACAACTAATACAATGTATTACTCTACACATTACTCGAGCAGAATTTTGCTTTACTTTAACAACTTTAATGTCAAACTGTTTCAATTGAATTAACATTAAAGAAATTAAACATTGTCAGTATAGTATGTTGCGGAGGGATGTAAAGTAGATGCAAGAATAAAACGTCTGAGGGGATAAAGAGGAGTTGTCGGATTAGGATAAATGAATATCTAAAGTAATTCGTGATTGTAATTAACTTACAAAGCAAAGAAATGCGATTGAGACCGGTGGAATTATTAAGGCAATTAAAAGGTAGGGTATGTAAGTTTGAGAAACCGGCTCGAGTGCGCTAGGATTTGAAAATACACAGCCCCTCCTCCAACACACACGAACATGACCAATGAGGGCACGAGATAAGTGTGTGCCCAGATGGAAGGCTGACAGGCAGGTAGACCATCCAGTTATTTTAGCCGGCTCAGATGATTGGTCGTGCTTTTTACAGCGCTACAGCTTCCACAGATGAATTTTTTTGTCAAAGCACTTCAGATATTCATTATATATTCATCTCGAGCCGGTTTCTCAAACTTACATACCCTACCTTTAAGGAAGTAACTGTATAAGTGGGGGATAACATGTTAATACCTGAAGTAGAATACTCATTTTTGCCCGATGTCGCTCTCCGACAGCCTTGGAACATGGACAACAGTGTTGGGGAATAGAAGTCCAACATTGACATGAACTTTGGCTCAAGATTCAGCGTGGTGATCCTCTGAAACTCTGCGCTGACCTGGAAGAGAGAGAGATGAGAAAAGAGAACAAATTACTTACGATTCAATTTATTGTAATTTCAATCCATCAAATACTAAAGTCCATATAGCTTTCAATAGGATGTAAAACTGTGACACATGCAGGTTATCCGTCCGTAATGTCTGTGTTGACCACTGCTTAAAGAAAATTCAATTTACTCACTTGCGAGACATCAAACAAGACAGGCCATCTATCCTTGATGTCTTCTATGCTCATCTGTAGACATCTTGTCTTCTATGTGCAAAAGTTCTGCACATCAAGTCCTTGATGGCTGTGCTGTCTTTCTTCTTTGATTCGGCGATGAGTTGGTGTCGATCCAGCTCGTGTTGTTCCTTCGTGTCTCCTGCGGGATAATGTGGGAGAAACACCACTTCTCCTTTCCGTGCTTTCTTTATATTCTTTGCAGGTGCCCTGTCATTTTCCACGACCAAAGGTACCGTGCTTCAACCGATAGTGCTTGAGAAGTGACCCTTTCACTGAAGCCACAAATGTGCACAGCTTACATTGCCATCCCATGAGCTGCAACCTAAAAAAGTGAGGATAAATAGTGTTATCACATGGAGCGAACAGACTGGTTTAATGCTACTTCCATTTACCTATATACTTTTTGGACTAATGTATTTTATCATACAGAGCTTTAAAAATGACACCCAATTGTATTTACTCATTGAAGCCAATAATTACATCTACTCCAAACTATAGTTAATGGAACATCTACCGTAATTGTTTTATTAAACTGTTTATTTTTCTAACAAATGCTTCCTGGCCTTTGCAATCAAACATGGTCAAAATCAAGGTGCAACAAATGTTGCTTATTCCCGATTTCTTAAACTTGTATAAAGCAAACTAATATGTTGGCACCGTTGTTTCAGTGTTTAATAAAATAATGACATTTACCTCCTCTGTTTTGTTGTCTTCGTTCAACTTCTCTCAGCGCAGTCGGTGCTGTGAAACAGATATTGAAAATATTTAACATGCTTCACAAAATTCAACTTTACTTGCTCTAGCCATCATCAAGTGTTCCCTCATAAATATGACAACATATAAGTTGGGCAAGTAGGCCGCTCCTCTTAAGAAAATACAATCCTTATTATAATAAAGATGAAACAGTTTCATAAGCATATAGGCAAATGAAGCCGCTGACGTCACTTCTTCTTCTGCTGCTTTGAGTTTACTGGCAGACTGAAAACAACTGGGACTCCCAGCAGCTTCTACTGAAGCCTTCTGAGTAAATCGCCAGAACGCCGACACCTCCTCATCTCCACCGCTCCCATGCTCGGCCTCGCTCGGTTTGGTTAGGCCTTATTAGGCCCGGCTCACTTTAATGCTGCGCTTCCATTACAGTTTAGGAACTGGGGCAGTTACTATAGTAACGCAGTGTAGGCGGAGCCGTGACGTCATCTTCAATGAGAACCCCAGAAAAACAACACAGCCGTTAGCTGTTAGCACTCAGAGCTCACAGCTCTTCATATCTGTTCAGAAACTAGACAAAAGTTAAACAAGTACAAACCACAGACTGTCTGTGTCATGGCGAATACAGTCGCTGGTTTATTTATGTCTGTATAGGCCGTTGTTGTGAGTGTGGACGGTCGGAGCATATATAACGTTAGCTTAGCCAAGCTACATTTAGAAAACACGCATTTTAAAAAGGTGTTTCGCCTGCCGTCTGTCTGCAGACTTGTCAAAGCATTAATTCATGGTTTTTACTAACCGGTATCAGTATGTTGTTACTTCGGCATCATTTAGAAACGTGTATTAAAATTAAATCACGGTCAAATATGTTCATCTTGTTGTAGTTGTAGCCCCCTTGCCAGCGATTCTCTCTCTAGTTTAGCATACTCAGCCCGACTCAGCCTGGTTGTTCCTGCCCTAGAACCACGATTTAGTCGGGCCAGAAAAAAGGTGAAAAAGTAGCCCTGGGCCAAAACTAGGCCAAGTGGAAACGCAACCAAAAACGGGCCCCGCACGCTTAAAGCGAGCTACCCGCTGCAGTGGAAACGCGCCATAATGGCGTTTGTGCGCTGGGCTAATGATGCTAATGTGAGGATAATAAAATGGCGGCTTCACAAAACTTTTTGGGAGTTGTACGGGGCGTAGTTTGCAATCCGCAATCAGACATAGGAACCTTTTTCTCCCATGAAAGTCCCTGCTCTCTAGCAGGGACGGAAAAGGGGCGAACGCAACATTTCGGAACTAAAGTGGGAAAAGTACTGCCTCCTTATCAGGGATACCTAAACAATAAGCGTTGCTAGTAACCGGGTGGCAAAGCCCCCTTCACAGCCTGTTCAAGGCGAGACTGTTGCGCCGTTATTCCGGCATGGCGGAACATGCAGACACACATATTCTCCGGCGCTGTTGTGTTACACGCAGGGCTCTCGACTAACTTTTTTCCCCATCCTCCCAGAACCGTCCCGAAATACAATCTAAGCCGTCCCGAAATTAATGTGGACCGTCCCGAATTTAAAATGTTAGTTTTTCTACATTATCATTAGTTAAAATCATTCAAAGTGACCTTTAACATGAATAAAACATCATACAAATCATTAGATGATAATTCATCAACCTTTTTATTTGAGTAAATCATTCAATCACATAAACAAAGGCCAAATATATTTAAACAAACGAGAAAGTTACTCTAATATTGAATCCAATCAAGTCCCATCCAATTAACAAAACAATCCAACACTGTGTCCTGAAGACAGAACCCAGAGTAACCGCTAACCAGGATGACAGTCTGTAACACAGTCAGGAGACCTTTACAAACGGCCCGGCCCCTCGCACACAGACGGGAGAGAGAGATCTCGTCTGGATTGGAAAGATCGAAAATACATCATAGACGCATGTTGTAGTCTTATTGCATATTAGAAACGGAGTTGGTGAAACTAAAACTGCGATATAATGTGTAGGTAGCAATAATACAAAAGACGTAGGCTATATTTTTTAAATGTCTCCAGTACCGATAAAAAGTCCGATAACGTCGGAGCTTAACGTTACCACTGTCTTTAATAATTCCGGCCCGGGGCCCGTTTAACACCGGGGCTCGGTACCCATCCCTACATGGGGAGAGGCAGCATATTGCTAAGGACTAAATACGATGGAGAGTTCTCATCTCAGCCTTATTACCCATAGGGGATGAAGAGGAGTAAGTAAATAAAGAGGCCGGCGCTCCAGGGTCTGGTTCTGCTGTGCGTTTTTGTGATGTAACGGTACAACATTTCAGAATTCCTCCACGGGATTGTTCATCACTCAACCCGCGAAATACACACACTCAGTACATAGCTTGACCCGCGAATTTGCGGGCCAGGAATTCACGGGCACAGCCAGCTGTGCGGCTGGCTGACAGCCAGCCGCACAGCTGTAGCTACATGTGTGTATTTCGCGGGTTTCTAAATGTTTTGTGCGTGTGTGTTTATGTTGACAAGGAGGTTTAATATGCTACACAAAACGTGCAGTCGTTTTCATTTTCATCGCCGTTTGTAGTAGAGTTAGCAGGGTATTTTTATTTTAACTCTCGTCCCAAATTCGTCCCAAAATTATGTTGTATCCTCCCCGACACTATTTGTTTCGGCCCCGGGACGACGGGACGTCCTTAAGCTCGAGCCCTGGTTACACGTCAGGCCGGCATGCCATCTAATATCACACACTGGGGCAGCAATATGCACACAACAACTGCAGACAAAGCAGGTGCTAATGTTTTCTACCCTTTACTCGAGTAAAACGTTAGCTTCACTTCACCTGGTTGACTGTGTCCACCATGCTTGTGTAGAAGCGGACAGAGAACTAGCTAGACAGCATGGCTGCAAGTGTGACAGTATTTAGATAATTACACACTATAAAGTTGTATATGCATAAAGACAGGGTCAATATTTCATTAACTTTTGCTTGGTTGTTACTTACCAGGATTTGCAGGGAGTTTTCCTGGAGTGGTGGTTCTCTTCTTGGTGTTTGGCTTGCTTCTTGGTTGCCACATGTGCAGATAGAAAAGTAGATTTCCCATGAGCACATGGGGTATATTTTGCGCGCGATTGTTAATGGTGTCCACGCCTATGTGTCCACGTCATGACGTTTAGTGTAATTTACTCAATGTTTTAAATTGTTGTTAAAGATTAAGAATATCGATTTGGAATGAGTAATAATTGCTGTTCCTGAAACTGATCAGTATAATTAGCCAATTCTCAAATATTTTGACTGAAATTTACGAACGATATTAAGGATATCTTAAAAATATAATTTGTTAGTAAAATACTCATTTATTTTCGTGTAATCAACTTAAATAATAGTAGTAATTTAAGACAAAATTAACTGTTGGATTTTTAAGCATTTATTTTGGTATGTCCAACTCAAACAATTACTTTGATTATATTTAGAGATGTTATTAAGGTAATATAGCTTTTTATTATTGTGATATCTACAAAGCCACTGATTTAGTTTTTTCAGTGTATTAGCACTGGTTATGAATGCCACTTTTTGTCACTTTTAGACTGAAATAAGCAATTATTTTGTATGTTAACTGTTTGTTCTGCTTCGTATTTTCAGTGTTGTTTTATTTGCTAGTGCCAAAGACGCATTTCCAGTCTGTGTACATTTAATGGACAATAAAGTCCTCTGAATCTGATCAGATAAGCTTCACTGATACAAACCAGTTTAAGGCTGCTGACAGGTAAGGTACGTTTATTTATATAACACATTGTCAGACACAGAGGAAATTCAAAGTGCTTTCCTCATCATTAACACTTAATACGGAGACGACAGAAAGGAACACAATAAATAAACATCATGGAATAACAGATTCATAAAAACCATGCATAGAAGAGATACAGAATAGTTTAAAAACAACATTGTAAATGCAGTAGGTGATAAAACAAGTTCAAAGACTTCTGGGTAAGCAGCCGAAACAAGTAATGTTTTTAAACTCGACTTAAAAGAGCTCATCGTTGGTGAGACCTCAGGTTTTCTGTAAATGTGTTCCATTTGTTGGGAGGAGCTTAAACACTAAAAGCAGCTTCAGCGTGTATGGTTCTGAGCCGGGGTACATGAGTAAACAGGTCCTCTTAGAAGAGCAACCAAGGCTAACCCTAACTCACCATCTAACTCTAACTCTGAGTCTGAGTCTGACTCTGACTCTGACTCTAACCCTAACTCACCATCTAACTCTAACTCTAACTCTGAGTCTGACTCTGACTCTAACTCTGACTCTAACCCTAACTCACCATCTAACTCTAACTCTAACTCTGAGTCTGACTCTGACTCTAACTCTGACTCTAACCCTAACTCACCATCTAACTCTAACTCTAACTCTGAGTCTGACTCTGACTCTAACTCTGACTCTAACCCTAACTCACCATCTAACTCTAACTCTAACTCTGAGTCTGACTCTAACTCTGACTCTGACTCTAACCCTAACTCACCATCTAACTCTAACTCTAACTCTGAGTCTGACTCTAACTCTGACTCTAACCCTAACTCACCATCTAACTCTAACTCTAACTCTGAGTCTGACTCTGACTCTAACTCTGACTCTAACCCTAACTCACCATCTAACTCTAACTCTGAGTCTGACTCTAACTCTGACTCTAACCCTAACTCACCATCTAACTCTAACTCTAACTCTGACTCTGACTATAACTCTAACTCTAACTCTGACTCTAACTCACCATCTAACTCTAACTCTGACTCGAACTCTAACTCTGACTCTAACTCTGACTCTAACTCTGACTCGAACTCTAACTCTGACTCTAACTCTGACTCTAACTCTAACTCTAACTCTGACTCTAACTCTAACTCTGACTCTGACTCTAACTCTAACTCTGACTCTAACTCTGACTCTGACTCTAACTCTAACTGACTCTAACTCTAACTCTGACTCTAACTCTAACTCACCATCTAACTCTAACTCTGACTCTAACTCTAACTCTGACTCTAACTCTGACTCTAACTCTAACTCTGACTCTAACTCTGACTCTGACTCTAACTCTGACTCTAACTCTAACTCACCATCTAACTCTAACTCTGACTCTAACTCTAACTCTGACTCTAACTCTGACTCTAACTCTAACTCTGACTCTAACTCTGACTCTGACTCTAACTCTGACTCTAACTCTAACTCTGACTCTAACTCTAACTCTAACTCTGACTCTAACTCTAACTCTAACTCTGACTCTAACTCTGACTCTAACTCTAACTCTGACTCTAACTCTAACTCTGACTCTGACTCTAACTCTAACTCTGACTCTAACTCTAACTCTAACTCTAACTCTAACTTTGACTCTAACTAAGCATGAAAAGCCTTTATAATCTCCGCCTGGCTTGACGCTTTCTGAACCATGGAGATGCAATTGAAGCCAACAGCGTCTACTCCTCAGGTTGTTTCCCCAGGGGTGTCATATGAAGTGTGGGGGGGGGGGGTGTGTGTTTGTGTGGCTTTCAGAAAGCATGTGATCTGCACACTCTGACAAGTAGGACGTTTAAGTTCAGAGCGTGTGAGACTTGTCCCGTCGAGTGAAAACAATTGGCCAGTTCCAGCTCCCATTCATCAAAGTGACAGCACTTGGCCACGTGGAAATGAATGAATAAATGAAGGAGAACGCATTCAGTGTGCAGATGAAGTGGAGAGACTGTCAGTGTGTGTACCACTCAGCCCTCATTGGAAAAATGGCATCCCCTACGACTGAAATGCTCCTCACAGATATATCTCTCCTCTCCACAACACTATGCATCACATACAAATGATTTCTGAAAGTAGAAGCAACATCTAATATTTCCAATCCCCCCTTTTCACTCTTCTTATCTTCATATATTGTGCGAGTGGAAGAACAATTCAATTTATGACTTTTTTTTAACAAAGTTTTGATTAACATTTTATACAATAAGACACATGTACACAGTGTACAGTTACAAACATACAGAAGGGCACTTCTCAAAGTCAAATTACACTGAGGTACAGGTGCAAAAACACACACTACCCTTCATACAAAGACACATCTTACATACATTTTGAAATTGAATGACATTTCCAGCCTCTTTGGTTGCATTCAAGGCAGTTTCATGGTACATAGTCCGAACTCAAAATAATCATATTATGAGGTTTACACACTTCAGTATCCTCATCATCTGCTAGCTCCTACCTTCCACAACAGATTACATGGTTTATAAATCTTGTCAAAAAAGTCTTGCTTCCCTTTTAGTATATATGTTATATGACTTTCAATTGTAATCACTTTTAGACTTAAATATGCCATTTCTTTTGAATGTGAACTGATTGTTGTGCAAAATGGCATCCCCTATGACTGAAATGCTCCTCACAGATATATCTCTCCTCTCCACCACACTATGCATCACATACAAATGATTTCTGACAGTGGAAGCCAAATCTAATATTTCCAATCCCCCCTTTTCACCCTTTCTTATCGTCTTATATTGTGCTGCTGTCATGGTTTGCCTGTGGCTGGGAAAAACAAGAGCAGTTGACCTCGGAGAAGTCGAGCATATCAACATCCATTTTCTTGCCTTTGACTGTGAGAAGCAGAATATTTGTATGCGCCCCGTGTGGATACAGAATCGTGTGCTTCACCCCTCACTACCCTGCTCTTGAGCTATGACCTGCCACAAATTCATTATTGATCATCGCTTTCGGTTGCCGGCCGCTGAGCTGCCTCGGTTATCTATAGACATCCACGCCGGCCTACAAGTCTCCTTCTATGTGCAATTCACAAGAAAAATAGGACTGTCTTTGATAAGCAGGCAGTGTGTGCTGCTGAGGTTGTACTGTAAGACACATCGAGGTCA